CCAGGTGGTTCTGCACCCCTGGGAGCTGAGAAGTTCTGATCTGCTGAACCCTAAAAGGTGATCCAGCTTGACAGGTCCAACCCTGGCCTCACTTGGGAGTCAGACAAAGATTCCTGAGCCGCCTCACACTTACTGAATCAGTGTATCAGGGTGGGGCCGTCCAAATTATTTTTAACAAGCTCCTGGCACGACTCTGGAGTTCACTCACGGTTGGTTGTGAAGAATCAATGAGCAGTACATCTCTTGCATTAGCATGACCCACACTCACCCTGATAGCGAGGACAGCAAGAGAATGCCCAGGGCCCACACTGATGAAGTGGTCTCCCTGGGCCACCCACACCTGTATTTCAGGCTTCCTGCTAAGAGATTCCTCCACACAGTGATCCTGAGCCCCTGGACGGAGCAGCAGTTCCGACCAAGAAAATAAGAGACGATCAGGTCACCCACCCCATTCTGCCTCAGGCACCCTGAACGCCCTGCCTCTCAGCACCTGCCACCAGTCCCCAGGTTACTGTTGTTAAAGCAGGGCCACCTTCTTTGTGCCCCTGAGGAAGTCCTGGACCAGGGAGTGAAATCAGACTCACACTTACGGAACAGCTCCTCATACCCAATGCTCCCTCCGTCTGACGACACAAATTAGTCTATTTTTCCATTATCATTGGTCTTTTTTGAATCTTTCCTTACTCCCAATTCTTAAAGTTATTCTGTTTTTATCTATTGGCAATATATTTTAGCTTTTGCCAGCACCTCTATCTCATTCCTAACCCCAAAGGGAAGTCCATTAAGCATGACTTTTGCTGTAGATTTTTAGAGGACAGCCTCTATAAGACTGAGGAAGTTCTTTACAATTCCTAATTTTCCAAGAGCTTTCATTATAAGTGGGTATTGAAATAGTCAATATTTTCTCATGTCTATTGAGATAATCATGTTATTTTCCCCCCTCCTTTCGTTCATTAATGTGGTCAACATCGCTGATGTTTCTTTTTAAAGCAGAACTATCTCAAGTGTCTGAGATAAACCCCACTTGATGTAATATATTTAGCAAGGCTGATATTTCATTTAGGTTGTATGCACTCACGATTCAAAGTGATACCTATGATTTTTGTTCTTGTACAATTCATAATCTGGTTTTGGCATAATGATTTTACAATCAATCACTTTTGGGCCTAAAACAACATTATGCCCAAAGAACATTTGCAAAGATAAGAAACAGGAACATTATTGAGGCTTCTGCCTGAATCAATGCTTCCCAAATAGCTATCCTTTGATCTCAATTAAATGCTTGTTCCTCTCACTTTGAAAGGCCTTTTATTTTTAGGTTAATATATCTGGTGTCAGAAATCAGGATCTAAAGTGGCCTCACCTTCATGGTCCAGCATCCCCTAGAACTGGGTACGGTACCTGCAGAATTTCTTTTGTACTCCCTGCTTCCATGGGCTGCTGTCTCCTTCACTAAGAGGCCCTCTTAGATTTGGACCTCCTTCCTTTTATTTTATTTTTGGTTGAGGTTGCCTTTATTTGAAATCAGGAGAGGTTTTTCCCTCAGGAAGGCAGGACGGCATTTGCCCCAGGTGCCAGGAAGTGGTGAGATGCTGCTGGGTTTGCTACCTCATGGGAAAATCTTTTTTCTCAGGAGGGACTATTCACCGCTCATGCTTGTAAGAAGTGATGGTGGTGGGGGGGAAGAGGTGAGCAGCTCAGAAAAGGGTTCCCCTGATGGGTGAGTACTCATTTAATTACAGTGGCTCTTTTGTTTCCTTTTCTTGTCTCTGCCTGTTATGTTGTCATAAGAAAAAGATTTCATAAAGAGGCTTCCAAACCTCTCTGGGACAATGGGATGCATTCTTTGATTAATAAGTGGAAGCTTCTCTCTACAAGAATCCTAAATTTTGGCCATCTGAGCAGGTGCTTTAAAATGTTTTACTGTTTCTCATGCCTGAAACCTGACAAGATGTTTCAAAGAATTTAATAACCATGATTAGAAATTTAATAGGGTTTTTAAAAAAAGAAAAAAAATCCCCTCAGCAACTTTAAGGCCTTCCTAACAGATAATCAGAAATGTAACTGCCTAAGACTCAACAAACCAAAGGAAAAAAATAAAGAAAGCATTTTAAAAACACAAGTGGCTGAAAAGATTCCTTTACCCAAGCAGCCCCCTGTAATCTCCTTAAAATTAGTTTATCAAGAACAAATAAAACTCTTAAAGCCTTAGCCTTCTAAATGAATAAACTTATTTCAACTGTTATAAATTAATGAATTTTTGCCTTATTGTTCCCATCTAATGGCTAAAAAAATTTTTTTTAAATGAAACTCAGGTCTGTGGTTGTGTCTGTCTATATATGTGTGTGTATGCCTAGCTCTGGAGGAGATTAAAATTGTTTTATATAAAGAGCTGTTTAACTGGATTAAAGGAATTAAACACATATAAATTAAGAAATGTAACAGGAATTGAATCAAATTCTTTTCAGGATCACATGATCTAGGAAATTAATTAATATTAAAATTGATTTAAGTTTGGTTTAATTTAAAAAGACATGTCTTTAAACTTATCAACATTTAATATAATATTTTTATTTTATCTGGGTTTACAAAAAAATAAGTTCATGTTCTCTCTGTTACGGAGTTTATCAACAGGAAAATAGCTTGGGATAATAATTGACTTTGTCTACTTGTCTCATAAATGGTTCATAAGTGATCTAAATATAATTATTGAGAATAAATTAAATAGATATAAATAAAACAAATTTATTTTGTGAAATTTTATAGCAATAATTGTTTTATGGTATGTATACTTAAAAATAGCTTCCCCAAATCTTCAATAACTTGAAACCTTAGAGTTTTACTAAGTTAAAATAAAATAGAAATTATTAAATATCTAGGTCATTTCCAAATAAGATAAAATATTAAGACATTAATTGCTAAATGAATTTATGTTTACCTACTTTTGGCTTCTTTTAATACAGAAAAACTAAAGATATTTGAGTCTGTTAATAAAAACACTTTATGCTATGTTAAGCACACGTTTCTAAAATTATAAAATATATTTGCCAAACAGTCGATGTTTCTAAAGGTTATAAAAGGTATTAATGAATTTGCCAATGTGAAGAATGCTAATTGCTTACTTTTAGTTGTCACTAAAAATTAAAGTTTCTAAGGGTTAAAACTTCTCATTAATATAGAAGGAATTAATATACGTTTTCAATAAAAGTATGAAGTATGGAGATATGTTTTCAGTAAGGGAAATAAAATAATTTTGTACTGGTTATTTCAGGATGGGAAGAGAGAAAGAGAATTTTACCTTATATAGTCAAGCTGGATGAAATTAAATTGTTATTGAATTATAAAGATGTTTTGGAAATAAAGCTTTAATATTAATGATGTACTTATGCAAAGCTAAAACTTAATGTTCTTTCATCTGCTAAAAGAACAACTATTGGGCCGGCCGAGTGGCGCGATGGTTAAGAACTGGCTTGGGACGCCAGAGGGCCCCACATATGAGGGCCAGTGACACTGCCCTCCACAGCTAAGATGCTGAACAACAGCTCAACCTGGAGCTGGGCTGCCGTGAGTCACTGGTGACGGTGTGGGCTGCAGCCCCTGTGGCAGTGGGTTGCCATGGGCTACCGTGTGTAGCCAGCAGCCAGCGTGAGCGGCCAGCAGCCGCAGTGAGCGGCTGTCCAGAAGCCGGCGACTGATCTGCCTCGCCCAGGAAGAGCACAATGATGGTGCCAACTTGGGCCAGTGAAGCAACATCCTCCACAACTAGACTGAAGAACAAAACGACAGCAACTTGTCTGTTCCCATCCCCCAATTCCCCAGCTCTGTTCCCATCCCACCAATTTCCCAATTAAAAAAAAAAAAAAAAGGAACAACTATTGATTTGTTCCTAATAAGACTTTATGAAGTTTTTTGCCTAAAAAACAAAGTTTTATGTTTTATAGTGTCTTAATCAGGTCCTTGATTACTTAAGAGAACTGAATCTTTTCAATAATAAGAAATAAAATTTTGATTACAACTATGTAACGTTTTGTATTTGTCTTTAAAATCTTTTATTGTCACTTTTGGTTAAGTGGGTAATAATTATTTCATTAACCATTGTTTCATAACAATCTGTGATTTTTTAGTCAAATATCCATACCTTTTGATATGTTTGACAAAATTCCCAAAATTAGATTCAAAATAAAGTATTAATCTCTGAATAACTTTGGAATGTTCCAGAGGTCCCCTGAAACACCTCAAAGGGTTTGTTTTCTCTCAATATAAAGAACAAATATTAAACTAATCAGGCCTATTTGAAACACTAAAATTACATGGGAAGCATTATAAAATAAAAAAGAATTACATTATATTTATATACATGTATTGTTATTAATATAAAGTTCTAAAAATAATATAACATCCTGACATGTCCTGGTATAATGCTAACTTACAGTCTTTCTCTATCACTGAAAGTTATAAATCTTGTCTTTGAAATGTAAATACCCAGAAATTAACCAAAACACTGCCCACAGAGGCTGAAGGGGGAAAAAAGAGGTCTTTTTAAAATACAGACTATTGTATAAGCTCCATTACCAAAAGTGTTTGGGAAAGAGCTATGGGTTTTTTCATAGAAATTAATAAGGATAAAACGAAATAACTACAGATGGAAAATAGGATGTTTTCAGCAGAACAAGATATGAAGCATGAAAACGCATTTTTGTTGAGGGAAAAGAGAAATAGTGCTTTTTGGATAAGGAAAGATATAAAGGACATGGTTTTTGTTTTGTCTGTATTTGTTTTGTAAAGGAAGAAAAAAAGGAAGGATAAAACATTTTATCCTAGAGTAAAATGATTCTTTCGAAATAAGGAAAAGATAGGACAAATTCTGAAAAGTATGTGAAAGTTACAGAAGGTTTGTGTACATCGCAGAAGGTTTGTGGAAGTTGCAAAAGGTTCATGGAGAAGGGATCTTGAGAAAAAATAATTTATATATGATTAAACTAAGATTGGAATGGAGAGCTAAGTCAATTATATATTTTTTAAAGTCAATTATATTTTTTATATGCGTGTAGTGAACTCTCACCAGGTCTTTAACCATGGCCATTTTTAAATCTTTTATCATTTACAGACAATTATTGTTTTATTCTGGTGCTTTGGAAAAAAAATGTTCCCACAAGTGTGTTTCATCTTCAAAGAAATTATAATTTTAAAAAGATAACACTGAACTCAGTAAAGATTGACAGAACTCTCAGGAAAAACTGGATCCACAAAACAGCTAACAAAAAGATCAAGATCAACAAGAATTAATAACATGGGACTAAATAAACTGATAAGAATAATTATAATTTTCATGACTTTTTCTATCAAATATGACTGGGTTTTGATCTTTGTTTTCCAGATATAAGAAAATGTTT